GTGGCAGGGAGTTCACACACCAAGAGAAACTCTCAAAGAACAAAGGACAGAAGTTGATGGATACAATCCAGTTTCCTTGCACGGCAGTGGGACAGTTCTAAGGTGTGTTCTAGAGGGCTCCCAGTGGACGTCAGCGCCAGTTGCCCACAGCGGCCCTCACAAGTGAATGCACCCTTTCTTGGCTTTCCTCTCTTCCTGGACTCACTTGCCCATTCCCTCTCCACACCTCTTGGGTTTGCCTCCCAAATAAACTATCCACCTATGTCCTTGTTTCAGGGTCTGCTTGGGAGAACACCATGTCCCCAGATTTCTCCAGGTAGGCTCAGCTTCCTCCCACTCTGGCCAGCAGCATCTAGCACTACCTGGGTGAGCTGCTGTCCACTCCTCAGCACAGCTATCGGGCTGGACCCCAGTTACTCACACAGGCCCAGCCAGTCTTGCTCACACACTGGAACTCGTTCTAATCCCCCTTTTAAATAAAGAAAACCAGAAGTATTTCTGCAAACCCTCTGAGTTTGCTGGCCCTGGATTACATGGCTAAAAACTTCCTCCAAGACAGCAGTCCTGGGACTCAGAGAGCCCTGGACCCAGGGCCGATCTGTACCGTGGTCCTCTGGGATCAGCTTCAGTCTGGGCAGCCAAGCATTAGACAGGTCCATTCCAGTCAAGAGGGGCTAGATGGTCCCCAAGCTCAGTAGCCTCCTGCTCATTCTCAGTGGCTATGAGAAAGTCACAGGCTGGTTTCCCCAGGAAGCAGACACTGAGAGAGAGGTGTGTGCACAGGAAGTTTACTGGGGACTGTTCTGTGTCAGCACCTGCTGGGGAAGAAGGTATGAATGGCGTGGGACTGAGTAGAAGAAGGAGCTAACTGTGGTCTAGTTGAAGCAAAAGCCATGTCTGATCCCACATGGAGCTACAGGGTGGCCCTACCGAGCTGTCCTGAGTTGAAGCAAGGGGACTGGACCTTTTTAACCCAGTTCAACCAGTTATTGGATGTGAGCTTCCCCGGAGAAAGATATGACTGAGTGAGGAGACTCAATTCAGCCCAGGGAAGCACCAGGATAGCGGGTGCTTCAGGGATCGATAAGACAACCAGAGTCTCCACATCAGTGTCATGAGTTTTCAGAAGAGAGAATCAGAAACTCCCCTGCCACCTAAAGCAGGTAAGAAATACAAAGCAATTGCCCTATGATTGCCCAATTCAGGAGGAGCTGGAGCCAAGCCCTAGAAAGAACACATCACTTGACAGTCACCCCAGAGGCTTCTTCACTGGAAGTGTCACCCTTGGAAGGACCAACCATGACTCCTAAGCCACCTCCACATTCACCATCAACTCCCAACCAATCCATAGGTGACTGGGTTGCATGTGATGCCCCTGGCCCCGCAGTACTGGCCACTGGTTTCAAACACAGCCTTCCAGGTCTCATGAAGTGGGAGGACTGGGGCTGGAGTTAAAGGAGCCTCTAGAAAAAGTACCTCTGTTGCGGAAAGGAGTCTTTTTAGTATTGCTCATCCACAGGCATTTGGGATCTGGCCTTGCAGGATCAGACACAGAGCAGAGGCTGGGAACTGAAGGGATGGTGCCACTCTGCACTGTGGTGCTTATCTGGTAGCTGGCATTTTTTGTAAACCAAGTGATGATAGGCAAGTCAGATTACTTCTCTGCATCTCAGTCTCCCCATCTGTAAAGTAGGGCTGAGAATCATAGCCAGCGGTGCCATTGTTCTGGGTGGAAATGAGATACACACTGGAATTCACTCCAGGAGCTCTATATTAAGTGCTACCCAATTGTCAACGTGTTTAACACAGCTTTGTGGTAATAACAACACAGCTTCTGTGTTATTTCTCAATTATGTTCAAATATTATCATTTGGGTAATAAAAAGCAAAACCATGTGGTAAACCATGAGAGAAAAGAAGCTTTCATCACTGTTTATGGGAGGATAAATTAATTCAAAATCAAGTTGGCAATATCTTACCAAGTTGGAGATTTTCTCTCTAAGAAAAGAAACTCTCCTACACACGCACGAGGGATGCATATAGGATGGATGGTAAATACAGCATGTTTGTAAGAATAAATAATTACTGAGAAACAGCCTAAATGTCCATTGGAAGAGAAACTAAGGAAGTTAAGTGGACAGATCCAAGCAACACTGAGGAAGTAAATGAATGAGGATGGACTGATTCAGGAGTCAGAGAGTGAGGTATCAAGGGTGATGCCTGTTTTGAACTTGCTGAACAACACCATTCCCTGAGCTAGGGAGAAATAGAGGAGGACCAGGCTTGGGGATTCTGCTGTAGAGGAACTTCTGATGGCTGTGCACGGATATGTTCTGTAGGCAGTTGGAAAGGTGGGCCTAGGAGTTAGAGAAGCCTTGGATGGAAACATAACTGGGGGCAGGGAAGGAGAGGCTCATCTGCAAATAGATAGTGAGTGTAAATGAAGTTGCCAGGTGAAATAGAGTGAAAATAGAGTCTAGGACTGAACTTTGAGGACTTGCAACTATATATTTACCAACTTTATTGAGGTATAATTGACACACAATAAACTGCACATAGCAAAAGTGTACAATTTGGTAAGTTTTGACATATATACCCCCATAAATCCATTATTACATTCAAGAAAATGAACACGTCCCTCATCCCCAAAGTTACCAAGTGTTCCCTTGCAATCCCTCCTCCCCGCTCTCCCCATTTCCATCTCCAGGAAACCCCTGATCACTTTCTGTCACTGTAGATTCACTTGTATTTTCTGGGATAGTATGTAAATGAAATAATCAAAATGTAGTCTTTTTTTTCTTCTTTCATTCAGCCTAATTCTTTGGCGGTCCATCCATGTTGTTCGTGTATGAATAGTTCATCCCTTTTTTGTGGCTGTTATTCATTGTGTGGCCATACAATCTGTTTATCCATGCACCAAATCATGCACACTCAAGCTGTTTCCACTTTGGGGCTACTACAAATAAAGCACCTATAAATATTGTGAAGTCTTCATAGGGCATATGCTTGAAATTCTCCTGCGTAAATATCTAGAAGTGCAATTTCATATGGTAGGTACATGTTTAACTTTTAAAGGAACTACCAAACCGTTCTCCAAAGGAGAAGTCTCATTTTATACTCCCAGTAGCAAGGTGTGGGAATTCCAGTCACTCTGCATCCTCGCTAGGAGTTGGTATGGTCAGTCTTTTCATTTTAGTCTCTTAATTTTAGCTATTCTAATGGGTGTATGGTGATATTTCATAGTGATTTTAATTTGCATTTCCCTAGCCACTAAGGATGGAACTACAGCTTTTAGCAACTGGAGGAAGACTGAATCTATACAGGAGATCCAAAGGTATAGGAGAAAAAAAAAAAAAAAAAAACAGAAAAATGTGACATCATGGTAGTCAACAGGAGAAATTACTCAAAGAGAGAGTGGTCAATAGGGTCAAGTGATGCTAATTTGAGGATTGAAAATTCTCTTTTGGATTTAGTGAAATGAAGGTTACTGGTGTCTTTATCAAACAATGTTCTAGTAGCAACTGAATCCAGCTTCCAGCCTCTTCACGTTTTCAGAATGAGTCCCATTACACTGCCTGCTGGGCAGCACCCTCTCCTCAGGGGTCTGAGTCCCAGCTCCACAGGACCCCTCCTCCAAGCTTCTGAGGTTAAAGCACCAGCTGGTACTTCTTTGATGTGGTTTCAAGTTTCTAGGGAGTGTCAAGGGTTTGGTTTCCTGAGAAGCCAACTCTGAAATCCAGATTAGCATCCAAAAGGCTTATTAGGGAGTAGTCTCAGGATCATTACCTCTGGAAGGGAAAGGAAAGAAGCAGGATTGGGCAAGGGAAAAGGTGGGCTGTGATGCAGTCTCAGCCAACAGTTCAGCCAACCCCCATGAGCAGGTCAGTAGTTGGATGGCCCTTCAGTATTGTCCCTATTTGGGACAAAGGAGCTGAGCCGCCATACCCTACATGGACTAGTCATTTGATATGGCCTGCTTCAGGAGGGAGCTGAAAGGTGTCTCTTCCAGTGGAGGGTAATTCCTGTACAGGGTTGAAAGCTGAGGGCCATCATCCAGCAGCACCCCAAGCAGCTTATTCCCTTCAGTCTTGGAGGACCTGAGTGGCATACTACAGTGTCCACTACAAGGAATTTCTCCTTCAATCTCTTAGGTTCTAATAACCCCAACTTCTTCCCTTGGTTCTCCACCTAAGAATGGGAGCCACTTCCTGCAGTTACTATCTCTAAATTATACCAGAGCCTCCTTTGTGCTTTTTCCATTTTCCAAAACCTGATTAAGCAATTCCTTATGTTGAATTCTCTAGTACTGTCCCTGTTTTCCTAACTAATACACCCCTCCACCCAGATGGCTCCAAAACTGTTAGGGAAGGTAGAAGTGAGAAAGCCACACTCTTGACTGGATTTGTGGCCTACTGACCAGGTCATTCATAATCTAGGAAGGTAAATTTGGGAAATATTAGGATATGTTTTGCTGTCAGCCCACACATACTCCCAGAGTCATCTGCAAAGACCAATATTTCAGCACAGAAATCTGGAATGTGTCCTGGGTGTATGCCCTGCAGGTAGGAATGTGCTTGAACTCTGAGCTCCTTCAAGTCCCTGTGTAATCCATTTACTGCATTTCTGACATATTAATGTACTAAATGGCTCCCTCGTGATCTGAAAATGTTAACACAGTCACAGCCTGAGTGCCTGACTTCACATAGAAATGACTCAGGCTCAGGGATAATTGGGCTGAAAAGCAGTATAATGGTATTGCAGGAGCAAGAATGATTCAATAGTTTGGTTTTTTCTTTCCATGTCTCAGACTGCACCAAAACTGATTTTTGGTAAGACTGAAATGCTAGAGACCAAGAGTAGTACATCCTAAATAAACAGGTCTTGTCAACTAATCAAGTGTCCTTCACATCTATATGTAGTCATATCAGCCTCTGGAGATCATTCATTCTCTGGCCGTCATCACCAGCACAAAGAAGTAATTGGAATACAGGCCCACTTCTGTTATTCAGAGCACATTTTATTAACACAGAAAGACCACAATGCACCTTATTAATCTCACAGGGGGAGTTTAGACCCTGGTAAGCACCACTCCTGTAGTACAGAATAAACTTGGTTACAAAGAGGAAGCAAAACACATCATTATTACCAAAATTCCTCACTGATGACAATGCTTATCCCCCAAAAATGTATTAAAGGCTTTAAATATACAAATCTAAAAATATGTTGACATTTAACATTTACTTAATTTTTTTAATATGCTTTAAAATACACTGAGCGTCTCTCCCTCTGATTCGCCAATTATGTGAAGAAGCCTCTTTCATTGTTTTTCTCTCAAACTTCCATCCTTTTTTCTGTCCTTGAGCAGAACTGGGGGCTGAACAGATTCCCGAGGCGGTGACTACGATACCTGCTCCGCAACCCTCTTGTGCTGGCTCCGGAAGTGACCCTCACTGCTGGGGGACACCTGCTTCTGTCGTTTCACTGTATTGGTCTTGCCAGCCGTTTCAATCCAGGGGTGCTGAAGAACCTGATGAGCTGTGTAGCGCTTTTTGGGGTCTACCACCAGCAACCGGCTCACCAGATCTTTGGCAGCTGTTGGAATGAGAGAAGGGGAAAATGTGATGAATGCAAGTGGATCTGAATTTTTCTTCCCCACACATGAAATAAGAACACAAACATTCACGTCAGCACCATGGCTGGCTGAAAGGCTCCTTCATACTCTAGAGCAGCACCGTCCAATAGAAGGCAGAAACATTCTCTATCTGCACTATCCACCTGTGATTATTGAGCATTTGAAATCTGGCTTGTGAAACTGAGGAAGTGAATATTTATATGATTTACTTTGAATTAATTTACATTTGCATTTAAATAGCCATGTGTGGCAGCAGAGAGGGGGCTACCATGTTGGACAGCACAGCTCGAGAGGACGTTCATTCATTTATCTAGAATCACGGGGCCAGGCCCACTCTTAACATCCCAGGCACTCAGGACAAAGGAACAAATGGAGACCACACGCTGCACATCTACATACTTTAAGATTCCAAATCAAAACTAACACATTGTTAAATAAAATATGTTCAATCTTCCCAAGTCAATACATACGTCTTCACATTGACAAAACTGAAAACCGCGTAAAGAAATCTAAAAAGTAAATAGTGCAAATTCAAAATTAATTTTATTTTCTGCCCAAGACCATGACTGGATTAATTTTAGAGAAATGAGGGGCCAACTGGTGGGCCCAGCAGCAGGCAGAAAGCAGAAGAGATTTCCCCCTGGCTTGCCAGCTCTCCCAGCCTGGCTCATTGAGCCTGCTCTTTCAATCACTCAAGAATGCACAAGAAGAAAGCATCCACTTTTTTCATTGTTGTTCTTTGCCTTTATTGAAGGCTGTCTTTTACTCAAGACCAGCTGCTCACCCACCAATCACCGCTCCCGTACACCGATGTCCAGCCACCTCCTGAGCACAGAAGGCCCAGATTCCTCCTACACCACCCAATTCAAGCTGGGAAAATTCTGCCCACAAAAAGCCCCAGCCCCACCACTGCCAGAACCACTCTCTCTGGGTCCTCAAATGACTCACTCAGAGACTGGAAGGCCAGATTGAAGTTGAGAATCCTCAGACTCTTGTGTACAAGTGTGGACAACCAGACACCCCAGCCAACATGTCCAAGCTCTGTCTACCCGCTCCAAACAGCCACTCCTCGGCCACTTTATGGCATAGTGGGAAGAGGCTGGAAAGAGGTCTCACAAACCTTGGATGTGGGCTTGGGCCATTTGGACAGGGAATTCATGGGTCTTAAGGAAGTGACCTAGAAGAGGGGACCTGGGCTCTAGGGGCACATCCCCTAAGCCCCATACTCTCCTCACTCTGTAGAGAAGGATGTGACTAGCGCAGGCCCCAGGACGAGGGCCACCCATGCCCAAATCTAAGGAATGCTGCACAGAACTTTCTAAAATGATTTTTAGTCCCTCAATTCCCAGTTGCCACTGCCTTGTCAGCTCAAGATCCTCATCTACTGTGACAAGCCACCCTCTCCCTACCTTATTTAGAGGGGGAAAAATGAAGATTTTCCCTTTCCTCATGTTCCAATCCCAGTGAGGAAATAGAGGCTAGGGATGGAGGCAGTTCAATAACTAAAATTAAACAGCATGTTTAGGGAAAATTGAAAAAACAAAATGTTATCATTCTTATTCTACTTTATTTTTATTTTTATTTTGAACCAGGATCTCTATCACCCAGGCTGGAGTGTGGTGGCACAATCATAGCTCACTGCAGCCTCAAACTCCTGGGCTTAAGTGATCCTCCTATCTCAGCCTCCAGAGCAGCTGGGACCATGCCTGGTTAATTTGCTTTATTTTTTGTAGAGAAGGGGTCTCGCTAGTTGCCCAGCCTGGTCTCGAACTCCGGGCCTCAAGCAATCCTCCCACCTGGGCCTCCCAAAGTGCTGGGATTATAGGTATGAGCCACCACACCCAGCCTCCTATTCTACTTTTTAAGCGAAAGACTCAAAATCCCCAATTATCTAGTTCTCAGTTTTACAAGGACTGTGAGTAGTACAGACAAATCCGTAGAGACAAGGGGAAGGATTTCATTTGGAATCAAATGAAACAGAGGGCCAAAAGCAGGGAGGACCATGCATGCTCCAGGTCACTAAAAAATAACTAAGATCTTCATTGCAGAGCCCCTGTGCTCCAAGTGTGCTGCTATAGGACCCTTGGTTATGCACGTGTAAAAGAAGCATTTTCAGTCTGTTCCATTCACAAACACTTCTGTATATAAGATGGCCTTTCTCTTTCCAAAGGAGAGTTATAATGTTTCTGATATTTTTCAGTTCTAAGGTTCTTGAATTACCTTAAGGAAAAGTACTTGGTGACTGTAACTGGTGGTTAGGCTTTTTCACTAAATCTCAAAGTACTAAATTTTTTCACTAAAATCTCCAAGTTTTCAGAGTGCTACACAAACCTACATGAAGCTACTGAGGAAGTAAAGGATGAGACATGACATGGTGACGGTCCAACTCTGCACCGGGCACAGTGGTGGGTCCTCTACACATCTGACCTGAAAAATCCATCCCCTCCTCTGCTGTGTGAGGAAGCCCCAAATCTCACCATCAGAGATATTGTCCCAGTAAGGGGGGAGGAACTCAAAGTGGCCCAGCTGGATGATGTTAAAGAGCTCGTCCTGGTCCCTCTCAGGGCTGCGGAATGGCGGAAAGCCACACAGCAGGATATAGAGGATCACACCGGCAGCCCACATGTCCACCTCCAGTCCATAACCTGTGCAGACAGAGGCAGAGACACAAACAAACCTGAGACCAGGCAGGGTCAAAGGTGACGAAATAAATGATGGAGTATTGTGGTTCTAAATAGATCTAAGTTACAGACGATCCCAGCTCTCAGCAACCAAGAGCCACTTCCAAACACAGCTCCCTTCTAACTCCTATACATAAGGATTCTACACCATCGTTACTCAAAGTGTGGTCCATGGACCACTGCCACTTTGCAATGCCTTATTACTGGTCTGTAGTAAAATGAGCACAGAAACACTTGAAAGCAAGTGTTTGGAAACGCTTATGGCAATTTAACAAGACTGTGACATTCAGTTGCACGATTGAACGGCACATCTCGTTGAACAGCACATACATCAGTTCAGGCATTGTCATACACATGTGGTGAGTCACGTGTGGCATGAGATGTGTTCTAGTCACATGCAGCAGGACGGTGAGTCCACACTGTACTGGAAATTTTAAAACTTCACCCTTCACCAGAGATAGTTAGAGAAGCCCAAGTCTACACTAGCAATCTCTGCTTCCTATATATCCATTGCCTTCTCTCTCACTTAAAAAATATCATTTACTGGCTTTTAAAATGATTTTTAAAAGACTGATGTTTACTAGCTGTATCCCCCACATGTGCACACACTGGTACACAACACACACACACACATATGCACACACCCATATGGAGACATGTATTCTTTTCTAAATAACTCTTTTATTTACTTTTCTACAGAAAATTAGGATCACATTGCACTTACACTCTATTTTATTTACTTAATATTATATAATGGCATTTCCAACGTAAGAATTTCCTATGAAAAATATAAAAAATATTTTTTACAAACATGATTTCTAACAACTATTAGTATCCCCTTTACATAATAAATTGCTATGTTGTAATTTAAGTTTTTACTAATTTTTTTACAACTGTAAGGAATTTTCTGATGAGCATTTATTAAATATTTGTGCACATACCTGATTATATTCCTAAAATAACTTTCCAGCAGTGAAATAGACAAAGCAGTATGAAGATTATTAATACATATTACACATTGTCCTCCCAAAACTTATCAGAGCAATATATACATTTTCAAACACTTTCTAACTTTCTACAGTTAGAAAAAGAAAACACTTGACCGTTGTAATTTAGAAGTTAGATATTCATGATTAAGCCCCAGAGTAAGTTTGACAAAACACAAATCAGCAGGAAAACACTAAGAGAATAAGTCACTAACGACCCCTTGTGACCTTTTCTCGGTTCTCAACCGTTCACTGTTGAGAGGGACTGATTTTCCTGGGTCTCATCAATATCTAGAAATGTCCCTTGGCCTCCGTGACAATGCACTTTCCAGATCCTCTCTGGGATACCCACCCTTTTCTCTACTGACCCCTCCTTCCTTCTCTCATCTCTGGGCTGTTGGCCTCCTCAAGAATACGTCCTTGACTCTCATTCCTGGCATTACCAAGGAGCCCATTATCAACCACCTCTCTGTTGAGGAGTCTCAAAGCCACATGTTCAGCTCACAGCTTCACCTCCTTGCCAAGTGGACAACTCCACTATCCATCCTGATATCTCTACAAAGTCAGTGTGTTCAAAACTAAACTCACCCCATCCCCCTATCTCCCAAAAGAGCTATCCTTTCCAACACCCTGTTTTAGCTGGTGCTACCACCAATATGTGATTTTCCCAAGAATTCATGTTGCCTATTTGCTTTCTTTTCTTCTCTTAACCAGTTCATCGATGCCACACCAAGTCTAAACACCTCTACCCAGCCTTCCCATTTGTGGAGAATTTAAACTCAACCTACCCAACTGATATAGTTTGGATATTTGTTCCCTCCAAATCTCATGTTGAAATGTGATTCCCAGTGTTGGAGGTGGGGCCTGTGGGAAGTGATTAGATCATGGGGGTGGATCCTTCATGAATGGTTTAGTACCATCCCCTTGGTGACAAGTGAGTTCTCACTCAGGTACTTCACTTAGGATCTAGTTGTTTAGAAGTCTGGGATCTCCTCCCTCTCTCTCTCTCTTGCTCCTAGTTCCACCATATAACATGCCGGTTCCCTGTCACTTTCCACCATGAGTGTAAGCTTCCTAAAGCCCTTACCAAAAGCAGAGCAGATGGCTGGCACCATGCTTGTACAGCCTGCAGAACCCTGAACCAACTAAACCTCTCTTCTTTATAAATCATCCAGCCTTTGTTATTTCTATAGCAACACAAAAACCTGACTAATACACCAACCAATTGTGTTTCTCTCTGGTCCACTGAAGCTAGTCTTCTCCATGTCTCTAACACCTGACCTCATGCATGTCATCTCCTCATCTTTTGGTGGTTTTTTTTGTTTTTTTTTTGTTTTTTGTTTTCTGACACGGAGTTTCACTCTTGTTGCCCAGGCTGGAGTGCAATGGCGCAATCTTGGCTCACTGCAACCTCCACCTCCCGGGTTCAAGCCATTCTCCTGCCTCAGCCTCCTGAGTAGCTGGGATTACAAGCATGCGCCACAACACCCAGCTAATTTTTTGTAGTTTTAGTAGAGACGGGGTTTCACTGTGTTGGCCAAGATGGTTTTGAATTCCTGACCTCAGGTGATCCACCCCGCCTTGGCCTCCCAAAGTGCTGGGATTACAGGTGTGAGCCACTGTGCCTGGCCATCTCCTCTTCTTAATTGTCCTGATGGTTCTGCTGCTGGGAAACTATCCGTCCATCCCTCCTCCCTGTCACCAACCCTGCAACCCGATGAAGGTCTTCCCATCTTACAACGGTGGGTAAATTGATTTCTCCTGAAGTGCCACAGTAGTCAAATAGTCATTCATATAGTTAGAGCCATATCATAACTATTATTTCCTTTTTAAATGTTTTAGAAAGTATGTCACTAAAACAACTCATTGGATCTTTGCATAATATACAAGTAGGTAATAAATATTCATAGAGTTCATGGAGGAAAATGGGATCCCCTTTTCCTTTAAATGGAAGGTTGGTGAAGAAATGTTTAAACCGAGTACCATAAGGACTGCTTCAATTCTCTCCTGTTAGAGACAGCCTTGGGTCAGTAGCCCAAATGGTCTTGCTTGCTTGAGTTCCCCATCCAATTCTCCATCATCTTTCATCTCACTGTCCTGCCTAAACACACTAAACACACATGTACACACACAAACACACACACACACACACACACACACACACACAGATCCATTCACTGTAACAAGGGCAGCCCTGATGAGGAGAAAGCTCTCATGCTTTGATCAAGCCTACTTCAAACATTTTCATTGAAGTCCAAATCCAAGCCTAAGCATCAATTCTCTGAGATTTATTCCATATTGAAAACTAGTAAATATTACAAATGAAACATTTGTTAGTAAGGGAACTAGAGTCCCACAGATCTATGTGTAACACTTACCTTTCTCAGAAAGAATTTCGGGAGCTACATAAGTCGGGGTCCCACACACAGTAAATATAGGTCTCACCACATGCTTTGCAAGTCCAAAATCAGCCAATTTCAAGGTAGTAGATTTGTCCTCATTTCGTTGAACCTGTAAGAAACCAAAATCCCCAAACCACCACCAAAATTGTGATTAGAACAAAGAAGAGATACCAATGAAACAACAGGCTTGCAAGGTCAAGATAAGCAAACGATAAACCTATGTGGGATTACAGCTTAGCCCAACACTGACAAAGCTAACTTGACCTCAATGACAAGGGCTCACATTTTCAATTAGAGAACCAATGAGTTAGATTTACTATGCCGTCCAATATGGTAGCACCATATTGTCAAAAGTGGCTACTTAAATTTATTGATTAAAATTAAATTAAAAATTTAGCTTCTCAGCTGCATTAGGCACATTTCAAGTACTCAAAAGCCACTTGTGGCTTGTGGCTACTGTATTGGGAAACACAGATAGACACACTTCCACTGTTGCAGAAAGGGCTATTAGGCAGCATTGAGTTAGAACAAGGATCAAGGATACTTTGAGCACCGTCTAGCTTTCATGAGCATTAGAAAATGGCTCTGGGCAATGCAAAGGCTGGGAAGACGTGAAAAAGAAAGGAAAAAGACTGGGAATGAAAATGAAGAAGTATGGGGCAGGGATGGGGGGAGGTGGGGATGGTTAATTGGTACAAAAAGAATAGTTAGAAAGAATGAATAAGACCTATTATTTGATAGCAAAACAGGGTGACTATAGTCAATGATAATTTAATTGTACATTTTAAAATAACTAAAAGGGTATAACTGGATTGTTTGTATTAGGTTGGTGCAAAAGTAATCACACAAGGATAAATGCTTGAGAGGATGAATACCCCATTCTCCATGATGTAATGATTATGCATTGCATGCCTGTATCAAAACATCTCATGTACCCCAAAAATGCATGCACCTAGCATGTACCTTGATATGGTTTGGCTGTGTCCCCACCCAAATCTCATCTTGAATTGTAACTCCCACAATTCCCACATGTTGTTGGGGGAACCCGGTGGGAAGTAACTGAATCACGGGTGTGGGTCTTTCCCATGCTGTTCTCATGAGAGCGAATCGGTCTCCCGAGATCTGACAGTTTTAAAAATGGGAGTTTGCCTGCACAAGCTCTCTCTTTGCCTGATGCCATCCATGTAAGACATGACTTGCTCCTCCTTGCCTTCCACCATTATTGTAGGAAGGCCTCCCTACCATGTGGAACCATAAGTCCATTAAACCTCTTTTTCTTCCTGGTCTTGGGTACAACTTTATCAGCATCATGGAAACGGACTAATACAGTAAACTGGCACCAGTAGAGTGGGGCACTGCTGAAAAGATACCCAAAAATATGAAAGTGACTTTGGAACTGGGTAACAGGCAGAGATTGGAACAGTTTGGAGGGCTCAGAAGATAGAAAAATGTGGGAAAGTTTGTAACTTCCTAGAGACTTGTTGAATGGCTTTGCCCAAAATGCTGATAGTGATATGGACAATAAAGTCCAGACTGAGGTGGTCTCAGATGGAAATCAGGAACCTGTTGGGAACTGGAGCAAAGGTGACTCTTGTTACATTTTAGCAAAGAGACTGGTGGCATTTTGCCTCTGCTCTAGAGATTTATGGAACTTTGAACTTGAGAGAGATGATTTAGGATATCTGGTGGAAATTTCTAAGCAGTAAAACATTCAAGAGGTGACTTGGGTGCTGTTAAAGTCATTCAGTTTTATAAGGGAAACAGAGCATAAAAGTTTGGAAAATTTGCAGCCTGACAATGCAATAGAAAAAGAAAATCCCATTTTCTGAGGATAAATTAAAGCTGGCTGCACAAATTTGCCTAAGTAATGAGGACCTGAATGTTAATCCCCAAGACAATGAGGAAAATGTCTCCAGGGCATGTCAGAGGTCTTCATAGCACCCCATCCTATCACAGGCCCAGAGACCTACAAGTAAAAAGTGGTTTTGTGGGCTGGCCCCAGGATCCCCATGCTGTGAGCAGCCTAGGGACTCCGTGCCCTGCATCCCAGCCACTCCAGCCATGGCTGAAAGGGGCAAACATAAAGCTCAGGTTGTGGCTTCAGAGGATGCAAGTCTTGGTCACTTCCATGTGTTGGTGAGCCTGCCAGTGCACGGAAGTCAAGAATTGGGGTTTGGGAACCTCCGCCTGGATTTCAGAGGATGTATGGAAATGTCTGGATGTCCAGGCAAAAGTTTGCTGCAGGGGTGGGGCTCTCATGGAAACCCTCTGCTAGGGCAGTGCAGAAGGGAAATGTGGGGTCGGATCCCCCAAACAGAGTCCTTACTGGGGCACTACCTAATGGAATCTTGAGAAGAGGGCCACTGTCTCCAGATCTCAGAATGGTAGACCAATGACAGCTTGTACCATGCGCCCGGAAAAGCCACAGACTCTCAATGCCAGCCTGTGAAAGAAGCCAGGAGAGAGGCTGTACTCTGCAAAACCACAGAAGCGGAGCTGCCCAAGACCATGGGAATCCACCTCTTGCATTAATTAGCATGACCTGGATGTAAGACCCAGAGTCAAAAGAGATCATTTTGGAGCTTTATGATTTGACTGCCCTGCTAGATTTCAGACTTGCATGGGGCCTGTAGCGCCTTTGTTTTGGCAAATTTCTCCCAGTTGAAATGGCTGTATTTACTCAATACCTGTACCCCAACTGTATCTAGGAAGTAACTAAGTTGCTTTTGATTCTACAGGCTCATAGGTGAAAGGGACTTTACTTGTCTTGGATGAGACTTTGGACTGTGCACTCTTAAGTTAACGCTGAAATGAGTTAAGACTTTGGGGAACAGTTGAGACATGATTGGTTTTGAAATGTGAGGACATGAGATTTGGGAGGGGCCAGAGTGGGATATGGTTTGACTGTGTCCCCACCCAAATCTCATCTTAAATTATAACTCCCACGATTCCCACATGTTGTGGGAGGAACCCAGTAGGAGGTAATTGAATCATGGGGGCAGGTCTTTCCTGTACTGTTCTCATGATAGTGAATCAGTCTTACAAGATCTGACAGTTTTAAAAATGGGAGTTTCCCTGCACAAGCTTTCTATTTGCCTGCTGCCATCCATGTAAGATGTGACTTGCTCCTCCTTGCCTTCCACCATGATTGTGGGAAGGCCTCCCCAGCCATGTGGAACCATAAGTCCATTAAACCTCTTTTTCTTCCCAGTCTCAGGTATCTCTTTATTAGCAGCATAAAAACAGACTAATACATACCCACAAAAATTAAAAATTACAAAAAATGAAGAAGTAGACCAATAAGCAGGAGAGAGATGTTAAATACAGGCCCTCATTGGGCAAGGTGAAGGATTAAGAATCAAACAGGCCAGGAGTCTTTGAGCAATTCCAACTCCAAGACTTGCAGCTGAATGGCCTTGGACAAATTTCTTTACTCATCTGAGTCTTTGTTTTCTCATTTGTTTAAAAAAAATGGGGGTGGGGTAGGTGCAGTGGCTCACACTTGTAATCCCAGCTCTTTGGGAGGCCAAGGTGGAAGGATTACTTGAGTCCAGGAGTTCAAGACCAGCTTGGGCAACACGAGGAGACCCCATCTCTACAAATAGTAAAAGTATTAGCCAGGCGTGGTGATGCATGCATGTGGTCCCAGCTACGTGGGAGGCTGAGATAGGAGGATCACTTGAGCCTGGGAAGTTGAGGCTGCAGTGTGCCATGATTATACCACTGTACTCCAGCCTCAGCAACAGAGCAAGACTCTGTCTCAAAATAAAAGAGGGAAGAATGGGAGTGACAGTTTCCAGCAAATAGGCTTATGTCATGAGTTTCATTCAATGTCTGCAATCTGCCTAGCAAAGTATTAGCTCTAGAGTGACCAAAAGGCCCAGTTTGACTTCCACCAGGTTTTAGAAAAGGGTAAAATTGGTCGATTTTTAAAATAGAGAAAAGGCACACTCACCTTCACTCTGAATGAATACAGAATCTGAAATGCTCCCTCCTTTTTCCCCTTCAAAACTTATCCCACCTGTCTCATTCCTTCAAACAAGTCCAGGTGACTGACTTTCTCACCTCTGGTAAGCCAATTCCCATTGCCAAGTTAGTATGTTCTGTCCTCCTTCCCCAACAAGTGATTTGATATAAAATTATGACTGTTAGGAAAAGCTGGACCTTAACCTAAAAGAAACTAATCTCAAGAGGTAAGTGTGGCAAGTATTTAGGTCACTATGCTGGAAAATAAAACTAAATTTCACAGGAAAAAACTAAACATGAGGGCGCAAACCCAGCATGTCTCGCAGCAAGTAAAAGATGCATCAGTGCCCCTGCCTGAAAGAAGTTTTCCAGTTTGAGGGAAGGTTAAACAATTAGACACAATTCAATACTCCAGCATCCTTCCAGACTATCTGGTACCTGCACACATAAGGTCCAAGGGTAACTGCCCTGTTTCTCGTGGTAGAAGCTGATTGCTCAGACGAAGGTGAACTAAGCAGTTAGTTAGACCACTGTGTGAAAACTTACTAGAATTTGGGCAATCTTATCCAAGCAACAGACTCATTAGTGCCACCACAGCTATAGGAGAAACTATCAACTTGTCTGCAGGCATACGTCCTCACATCTCTCCTGGAACTGGGGCAAAGGCTCCTACCAGTGCCTGGACAGGTGGGCAGTAGGGGAACTCTGCCTCTCCCTGGGACCCATCACAGCCATGGGCAACGCCTAGAATGGCAGGGTGGAGCCGCCTTTCCCCTGTCTCTCCAGACCAGAATAAATTCTCCACACTTGCTTTGGTTTCTGTCAGTGAGCTTACATCTCCATAAGCAGCATGTGTCTTAATTACTGAGCCCAAGTCACCACCAGACAATCTAATCAATGTCTCCATAATTAACCTCACCAAATGGAAAGTCATAAATTTAGAACTAAAATGAAATTCTGCTTGGTCTGCATATAGAAACTGACATAGCCCAAAAGGAGACAACAGGGTAATTACCAGAATAATTTAAGAAAACCTTGTTTGGAAGGGAAGGAAAACAAAATAATGTGATACCTAGAATGACCAGATGGATCATATGCATTAATCATAGTTGCTGGGTGACTGCTGGAAAAATATGTCTTTCA